GAGAAGAGAAGAATGGCGTGTTGGCTGATAAGAGCAGGTCGTTTTCCAGTAGAACGATCTTGAGAATGACCTCGAGCGAATTCCAGAAGCGATTGCGAGAAAATCGTGTCCCTCGGGTGTCTTTGCCAGCTCGACCGACGTTGGCGCGCCGGGTGATGATGGTGGCGCACTCGCAGAAAATAAAAACTAAAAGTGGCCTGATGCCCACAACAACATGCCCGCGCTATAAAAATTCGCGCGCGCTCCTGTCGCGGTGCTTCTCTTCCTCGTCATGGACCTCGTCCTACACATTGCCGACGAGTTTCTTCTCGACAGCGTGTGGGCCCGCCTCGTCCCCCTCAACGACCCCCTCGCCGACCCCCCCTCGCTCCCCGGCAACGCATCCACGATAGCACTCCACCCGCAGTCCGCATGGCCGCGAGATCACATTCCCAGACAATTATTGTCGTTGATCGTGGTCACCCTGATTGGCATCCACCTCCTCTACTTCATTTTCGCCGGTCTTTCCTTCCAATTCATATTCAACCACGACATGATGCGACATCCACGCTTCCTCAAAAACCAGATTAAATTAGAGATTCAATGCAGTCTGAAGGCCTTTCCTGGAATGGCGTTGTTGACCCTCCCATGGTTCCAAGCCGAGGTCATGGGCTATTCCAGGTTGTACGACGATGTGTCAGACTACGGATGGTTCTATCTCGTCTTCTCGGTCCCATTGTATGTATCTCTTCCATCGGTCATTGCTCACGCTGACACATGTCCAGCTTCTTGGTCTTCACCGACTACCTCATATACTGGATCCATCGTACTCTGCATCATCCCATGCTGTACAAGACCTTCCATAAGCCCCACCACAAATGGCTAAGTACGTCCTCTTGGTTCTCTCGTTTTCCCTGTCGGTTGACATACGTTCCCCTAGTACCGACCCCCTTCGCATCCCATGCATTCCATCCTGTGGACGGATATTTGCAGTCCGTGCCGTATCATCTCTTCATATTCTTGTTCCCCCTTCAGCGATGGCTATACTTGGCCCTCTTTGTGTTCGTCAACTTTTGGAGCATATTTGTATGATCAACCATATTCCTTCACCCCGATGGCCATCTTGACGTTCGCCTGTATAGATTCATGACTCCGATATGATTACCGGTCATCCCCTCGAACACGTCATCAACGGTCCCGCACACCATACACTGCACCATCTTTATTTCACGGTTAATTACGGCCAGGTACTCATAGCCCCTCGCGATAGCGTAATTCTTGGCCGCTAATCTCCTATCAACAGTACTTCACGTGGGCGGATCGTGCGGGTGGCTCGTATCGCCAGCCAGAATCACACCTTGACCCATTGTTGGAAGTTCCAAAGGAGAAGACATCATGAACTCCGTATCCGAACCATCGTATCACGCATAGACTGGATCTCAAGTACATCTACTCGAAGCTACTAATGTGTGGTGATTACATTTCAACGCATAGCATTCACACCTTAAGGTATCATATTGTCATTTGATCACCGAGCATTATCGTCATGTCCAATTGTTACCTCTCGACGACCCAGACGATCTTGCCACACCATTGTTCGTTTCCATGTATGCATGCACATTGCCTGTATGTCGCGTCTGAAAATGAGGGTGATGAAATGCTGTGAATGACGTCACGGACTGGTATAGCGAAGGTCCACGCAGCCACTGGTTTGAGGCCTCGCAACCCAACGTGGCACATGAATTGGTTCGACGTTAGTGCCTTGACGAATGCCTGGCCTCTGCGACCCCGTGAGGATGATGTCGGCCACACCACTGTCACGACTTGTGCGCGTGTAGTCGAAACGACGCGGCGGCATTTGGACAGCAAGGAACATGCATGTGAGTTGGTCTCTAGAATGCCAGGTGATGATGAGAGGCGATACCGAACCGTGCAGGATCAGCGTGAGCCCGGCGTATCCAGCGGGATGAGAGTGGATGTTGGGGCGTGGCGGAGTGGCGTGAGAAGCATTATTGTGTTGTCTCCTAGACTCATACTTTTACCATGTCTTTCTTTGGCACAGCGGCCGCGTCCACGACACCCGCTGCCACAGCCGACAAGGACATTGAAGTCCCAGAGCCACCCCCAGATTCTATATCCTCGCTCGCATTTTCCTCTGCTGCCGACTATCTTGCTGTAGGCAGCTGGGATAACAATGTAGCTTGTATTTTCTTTCTATCTAGCTTATCATTGACGCGCAGCCAGGTCCGCTTGTACGAGGTCGGTGCAGGTGGCCAGACACAGGGCAAGGCCATGTATGCTCACCAGGGTCCCGTGCTCAGCGTTTGTTGGAACAAGGTGGGTTCAATATCATGCCGATCATTTGAAGTCATCTCATTCAAACCTAAAGGACGGTAATAAAGTCATCTCCGGTGGTGCAGACAACGCCGCACGCATGTTCGACATCACAAACGGCCAAACAACGCAAGTCGCGCAGCATGATGCGCCAATAAAAGTCGTCAAGTGGATAGAAACACCACAAGGCGGCATTCTTGCTACTGGCAGTTGGGACAAGACACTCAAGGTCCGTACACGCCACTTTTGCACGCGAACTTGACGTTGACATCTGCTTTGTATCTTGCATAGTACTGGGACCTCCGTTCCGCCAGTCCCGTTGCCACAGTACAATTACCGGAACGTTGCTATACCATGGATGTGCAGTATCCCCTCCTGGTCGTTGGCACTGCCGAGCGTCATATTCAAATATTTAATTTGACGAATCCATCCGCGGCGTACAAGGTCAGTCCATGATGTCACGCGGCCAACTCCACCCGTTAATGTCGCCATATCCAGACCATAACATCTCCTCTGAAATGGCAGACGCGTGTAGTGACCTGCTTCACCAACTCCGCGAATAGTGGCTTTGCGGTAGGCAGTATTGAAGGTCGTGTGGCAATACAGTACGTCTTTCCTGTGTAGACTCTGTGCGCCTGATTAATCCGTCGTTTATGCAGATACGTCGAGGACAAGGATAGCACGTGAGCCCTCTGCGAGTCAGCAACGACAAGTCTGTAACATTCGTTGCAGAAATAACTTTTCTTTCAAATGCCACCGCCGAGACCAGACTCCAAACGCGAAAGATCAATCGCTGGTGTATGCTGTGAATGACATCACGTTCCACCCTGTCCACGGAACTTTCTCCACCTGCGGTGCGTTCCACTTATCCACCTTGCAACGTGTTTTCACTCGTATTGGTATGAATAGGCTCCGATGGGACCATTCATTTCTGGGACAAGGATGCACGCACACGGCTAAAGAGTATGTTTTAATGTCCTGAACCTATTTGTGCCTGCTCTTACCCTTGTGATATGTAGCATTTGAAGCCGCGCCAGGCCCGATCAGCGCCACGACGTTCAACCGCAACGGCACGATCTTTGCATATGCCGTCTCCTACGATTGGTCAAAGGGGCACAGTGGAATGACCCCCGGTCATCCAAACAAACTGATGTTGCACGCATGCAAGGAAGAGGAGGTGAAGAGGCGACCAAAGAAGTAGATGAATCCATAGCTGTATCTTACCTCCAAGTTTGTGCACCCTACTTGCTTGGTCCTCGATGTACGATAATGTCATCTTACCGCTGCTGTCAGTCAGGACGTCGACTCTGATGAACGTACTTGGGTGGTCATGTTCGTTATTTCCGTCGCTCGGTCCGCTCGGTCCATGCTGACTTTATTACAGTGCGGTACGTACCGCATTGAAATGAACCACTTGATGTCGACCTGTAAGATGTATGTCACTAGGGAGGACTATGATGGCAGTTGCTGCATAATGAACTGAAGCGACTACAATCGGGAGCAAGGGCGCATGAAGAGGGGCAACGGCACGCAAGGGGGGCCGGGACGGCACACAAGGCGAAAGAAATGTCCCGCAGGTACTTGTAAATGGTCTCCGGGACGCGTTCGTCGACGCGAGACAAGACCTTCATCGTCTCACCCCGGCAATCCAGTATCACCACTTGGCATGCACACGAGAACGACAGACCTGGAGCTGCTTCGAGGACGTTGGTCCATGTCCCTGAATTTCTCGAGCTGGAAGCACTGAGATAGTATCCCCATTATCTCGGTGTTTTCGACGCGACAACCAAGCGTGGCATCGAATCTGCAGTGGAAGCGTCCACAGGCGCCAGATGCCCAACAACGCAGTGGATCCGACAGATCATTGACCTGAAGCCTAATGCGATAAAATCGTTCGGGCGCAAGACGAGACGCGAAAAAAGGGAATCGCGAATACGTGACCCTCCAACCGTCTGGTGTCTGAGCGTCATCGGGACAGTACACGCCAGAGTTTGCGACGAGCGCGTGCAATACGCCATTCCCTTCCGTTGCGAATCGATCGGTAAAGGGGCATACGCTTTCAAGGGAAACCAAGTTGAATGACCAGGCAGTCCTTTCTCCCCGCCCTGGGCCCGCCCGCTCAAAGATGGGCCCGATACGTTTCCATTCCAGTGCGCGTCAGCTCTGCAGACCCCGTCGGCGCTACACACGACACATACCCGAGAGTCCTTGCCGCATCCGCGCACGCTTGGTCGCGTCTCAGGGTCTCGGCTCGTGGCGACGAGCAACTCGAGGTTCCCCCATCAAGTTGGCGAGATGGCACGCGAGCTTCGAAACCTAGCCCCGTCACCAAGTATGAAGTGTCGACCATTGCTCGAGGAGAGATTGACGTAGGCCGACCACCGCCTATTCGGATAGGATGGTATAGAGCGATGAAAAGAACTGTTTGGTGCAGACTCCGAGTGCGAGCGAAAGCAATTTAGGGGGAACGACTTTAATTTCCCTGGACCGTCATTGAGAGTAGGTACTCGCGTAACTGGATGCATGGGAGATCGAGTGGAGCAGATTCAGAGATCTGGGTCATTGAGGCTCTCGATACTCGTCCTGTATGACTTGAGTGATCCAGCTGTTCTTCTCTGCATCTCTGCAGAGTTGCTAGATCTGCCGCGTTGGAGATCATCAAGTTTCCCGTCCAGTTTGTCGTTCGAGGCGGGTTGGCGTAATGGTAACGCGCTAGTTTCCGGCGCTAGAGATTCTGGGTTCGAGTCCCAGGCCTGTCGTTTTTTGTGGTTCCTCTCGCAATGTTATGCGCTTAGTGAGTACAGTCAAGAGCATCAGTACCCCCAAGTTTACTCGAAACATTCCGAGTCGTTGATCATCGATGAGACTTCTCAGGCACCACTGGTTGTACATTGACCCATACTAATGTTACTTACACGACTTCAACGACACTAGCAGTATTAATACAAATGCTCGATCGAATCTTTCACGGCTGCGCATTTTCGAAGACAGGGGCATCAAAGGTGCCATCCGGGTCTAATATGCAATCAATCAACAATTAAGCAGTATGGATTTAACATGAGCTTACCCTGCCCTTCGCGGTAAATATATTCTCTGTCCTTTGCCGCGAGGTGCATGATATGGCTCGCCATCTCATGGGCGACAATGGCGACGCTTGCGTTGTGGAGTGCCCCAGCACGGACTGCAGCTGCAGCCACATGATATCTTGAAACACTGTTGCACAGCATCATCTTAACACATCTTGTCAGTACGGGCTGATAAAAAAAGTCAACAAAACGAACATCAAAAGGGGACGTCGTGGTTCCTTCCTCTTGATACCTATTGATCATCATTACCTATGAGATCTATTCAGGAAATGTGACCACTGACCCCCCAACTGATATCCTTTCGACATTTCGCCGGCCCGACAACAGACCCTTCAACTCGATTGGATAGCTGTGATAGTTGATGATGACCGGTTTATCCGGAGTGAAAAGCGAATCGAAGTCATCGTTAGTGAGTGCGTGAGGGTGACTCCCGTCCGGACCGAGAATCATCAAATCCGTGACATTCACGACGCGCACGCGGAGGCAAGGGATCAACTTGCGAAGAAGTGCCGCTGCTGCAATCACTTCGAATGTAACCTCTGTACCGATGCCGACGAGGACGCTGAGTTACCTGTTAGAAGCGTATTACAAATGCAAGGAATCGACGTACACATCTGGGTTCACTCCCTCGTCAACGCTCGCAAATTTCCAAACAGAGGCACCAGCCACGCAATGCTTCATGTGAATTAGTTGTATGTTGTCCGGGGCAACCAAAAAAGCGTACGCGATTCGCCTCCTCCGGGCTTAGCCATACTGTGGTCGGTTGCTTGCTACCAACCATGAGATTGATGTAGTTCTTGGCCTTCAAGCAGTGCGCTATAGTAGAAAGGAAACAATTCGCATCAGGTGGGAGGTAAACGCGTGCAAGTTTCGGTTTCAGACTGAGAACGGCGCCGATGAACGAAGGGTTCTGATGCGAGAAACCGTTGTGCTCCTGCCTCGCCCAGGTGGAGGTTTCCAGGAAATTGACAGAGCCCGTATCATGGCGCCAATCAGTCTCATGCGCCTAAGGATGAGAGTTGTTAATAGATCGCAGCAGACCAGCGGACAATACGGACCATCTTCACAAACTTGCTGTATTGCACTACCATGGTGTGGATGATGCCTATGAAAGCCTCGTACGTCGGGAAGAGGCCCGTCCTTCCTGTGAGTGTGTACCCCTGGAGCATACCTTGACAGGTATGTTCGGAGAGAATTTCGACAACTCTCCCTCCCTGAGCACGACAAGCGACATCCCACTGGAAATTTCTCCCAGTGACATCGAATACCGCATCAAGTTTATTCGAAACCAACTCATCGGGTGAGAAAATCCTAAAGGTGGATGGATTACTGGAAAAAAGGTCTCAGTTTCAGCGAAGAATGGAAGAATGGGACACTTGCTCTTTGACTACTTCGCGAAGAAAGTTTCCGACTGTTTTCATGCAGCTTGCCTCGCGACCACTTTGGACACTAAATGGCATCCAATCAGGAACTGCAAGCGGTTGGAAGGCTGCATAAGCCTCCTTCCTAAAGCCGAGCTTCTTCTCCTTGACATCGGGGATAATCTCCGTGACGTCGCTCGTAGGTGCACCCCCAGTGAAGAGCTCCTCCGGATGATAGCTGGTCAGCCAATCTTGTAGTAGCTTGAGATCTTCCTCCGACTTCTTGGACTCGGGGAGCGGTACTTGGTGTGACCGAAATGAACCTTCAATAAATTCCCCATGCACCACTTTCGGGCCCGACCAGCCCTTTGGAGTTCGTAAAATCAACATTGGCCAACGAGGCTTAACAATTGGTTTTCCCGAACGTGCTGCCTGCTGAATACGAGAAATCTCGCGAAGGGCCCATTCCATAGCCCCAGCAAGGTCTCTATGGATATTCGGCAAGTCGTCAACGATGCAAACTTGGTAGCCATAACCACTGGAGACGTATTCGTAAGTGCACACGTTAGGAAAAGGACACGCCAACCTGAACAATGCAATCAACTCCTTATCGTCCATACATCCGAAGATGGTGCGTTCTGAAATCTTGAATCCATTGAGGTGTAGGATAGGAAGTACAGCACCCGACTCTGTAGGATCAATATATTTGAACCCATGCCATGCGGTTGCAGTGGGCCCGGTCTCGGCTTCTCCATCACCGACAACGCAAGCGACGACGAGGTGTGGATTGTCCATGACAGCGCCAAAAGACACGCTGAGAGCATACCCCAATTCCCCACCTTCATGGATACAGCCGGGTGTCTCGGCGTTGATGTGACTGAAAAACGATCAGCTTCAAATAGGGGGAATCACGTAGAGCTTGCCTCGGGAAACCTCCAGGAGTGCTGAATTTCGTAATGAGCCTCGTCAACCCATCTTTATCACGAGAATAACGTGGCCAGAACCGAGCAAGTGCTTCCTCCAACCACAGACAAGAGAGAATGGCAGGTGCGCCATGGCCTGGATTAGCGACGAGAAGAATATCAGTATAGGGATAGATTAAATTCACAGGAAAGTGAATCTAACCGGGTCCTACGACAAGGAGGGCATCAAGACCGGTTTTCTTGATGATGCGATTCAGATGCGCATACACGAGAACGAGGCCAGGACAGGTTCCCCAGTGCCCAAGTAATCGATTCTTGATGTCGTCTGAAATGAGTTTCCTTTCGAGGAGAACATTGTCTTTCAGGAAGATCATAGCTAGATCATGCCTGGGCCTGAGCACGGGAAGGATGGAACAACCAAACAGGGTATATTTACCGGCAGCGATGTAATTTGCAGCTCGCGTGAACTTGTCGAGCGAGGTGAGTTCGGCGGGGGTGATTGCCAAGCCAGTGCTGCTGGCTCGTACGCCATACTCCAGCACGGAATCGGGGAGATGGGACGAGTCAGCGGGCGGGTTGGGTTGAGCGAGACGTTGGCCAGGCATCGTAGTCTGACTGAGGAATACAGCTGGAAGGATAGATAGGAGAAAACATTAGTGATCCTTTACTGTATATTGGATTTCACAATGACCGCATACGAATCGGAATGACGTACTGGGTGTGACTCAACTGCACCGTGTCTGTAGAAAGCGAGTAGTCACACGAAGATCGATACAAAACTGGGGAATACAGACAGATGCTCTCTGGGTTATATATATTGAGAGATAGGCTCGGCAGGGGCGGTGAATGCCACGATGGGTATAGAGGGGTTGCTCTGAAACACTGATCATAGGTGTTTGAAGGTCCGGTTGGGCTTTCTGGTCCTCTTGGGCAGGATCGGGACTGGACTGGTCCCTCAAAATCCAGAATTCGTCATGACCGGACCGGAACCAACAAAGTCAGACAGATTCTTATTGATCCCCGTGCAGTTCTGGACCGCTCTGGACCTCTGGACGGTCATGGTTGGCAAGGTCACCGTGGCCGTCTTATCGGAGTTTGCCGTGTCTGACTTTGAACGATTTGTCACGCGACCTGTGCCTTTTCATCAATGCATCACTGCTCAAGGCGGTCGGGACTGACAGGGATGGCAGACGGGACCCTCCTCCCGCTGCAGGGGCGAGGTCGGTAGTAGTTCATCAATATTGTTGGGTAAACTCAGACACATCACTGACACTTCATCGATCTTTCGTTCCTTATTGAGAGCCGGCCAGAGCGGAGAAACGGAGAGTTCCCAACGCCCCTAGCTAATGCACTGCAGGCCTGACCTGGATATTCCGAGCAGGGCCAGACTCCCGCCGGGCTGGTCCCTGATCCGAGTCCTCGTTCGGCGAGGCTCTGCTTTTCTGAATACTACCGCGTAAACAAGTTCAACATCACCCTGTGATACCCGGTGACAGGGCTCAACTGCGTACACTATTCATATGCACACAGCTAAAACATGCAAAATTTGAAAGGCTGTTTGACAGTGAGAACGCAACCATCTATTAGCTCCGAAAGCAACCCAAACCAGATTGTCCGAGTAATACAGTTATCGTTTACAAGCTTGGAACTCCTGTGGGCCCATGCAAAAAGAGTGAAGCAATAGCTACCCCGAATGAGAACGCGACCGCGATACACGAGCAAGCCCAACTTGAATGTCCATAAAATTAGTAACGAACGGGAAGTAAAAGTCCGCTAGAAAATCCACACCCCTGCGCACACAGCTGCGAGGAGTGAGACGCCGAGCTCAGAGACTGGGGCTCGTAACGTCCGAGCGCCACCCCATCCAGGCAGTACTCCGAGAACTACAGTAGGTTCCATGAGGTGGTAGGTGGTTGTTATAAGCTGTCCTTGTGCGTTGGTCTCAGTGAGGGTATATTGATCGGAAACCATCGGAAGCACAGTTGCAGCTATCGCGGGCGACACGACCATTGGTGAGTACGTGCTAGTCGCGAGTTCCGAATCGACAACTTCGCCCAAAGTCGCAGCAATAGAAGTATTAAAGGTGTAGGGCGGCGTCGTATACGTCGGAGTCGGCAGGAGGTAGTTGGGTAGCGTGGTTGGAAAGGTCGCAGACACAGAAGAGAAATATGACAAGACAAGAGCAGGGGGCTCGACAGGCGCCGAAGAGTTTATGAGAGGGTACAAGCCAATCATTGGAGGTTGTACATCATCAATACCAAAGCTGTGCAAGTGAGGATGTGAACATGAGAGACAAGGTTCGTGCTTACCTCCAGATAGAGTAAACAGTGCGTAAAAACGGTGTGCCTAAGAGATTCGTTACAAAGGCAGTTTACAAGGAGCAGTGGCC